CAGTGGTCGGAAAGCCACGACATCATCACGTATATTCCTACCTTCGAACGTCAAACGCTGTCGGAAGACACACGCGACGAGTGTGTCACGACACTACATCAAGTCGGAGGCGTCGTGTCGTTCGATGTAGAGTCGATGTCGGTCGACCGACTGCACGACGTCATCGAGGCATCCCTCTACCAGCTGCATCAGGAGGAACTTGCGGACGCTAAGCGTACCTTCAGAGAGGCCGCCGCAGACTCTCTTGGTGAGGTGGGAGCCCTTGTTCGCCAAGGCCAAGTCGGCGAAATTTGGGCCCAGACGCAAAAGAAGCACCTGTCGGCGAATGTCATTCTATGAGTTAGCGCAACACGACGCTTCAACGTTCGCGTCGTTGATTCAGTTGCACACGTGGCAACGATGGATGGCTGCGTCTACCGCACACAAAGTACTGCCATTTCGGGATACGTTTAAGCAGCTTTTTGGCTCGTCCAAACTCAGAACTGCCCACCTTCAAACCCGTCGTGGTGAACTACGAGTGCGTACGGATGAGAACAACCACGTCCTATCTCAGCAGAACAGTTAGAACTTGAGGACGCTCTGTCCTTGTTCGAAGTGTGCTTCTGCATCATGGCTCCTACCTTCTTCCAAAAAGACGGGTTGGTCCTATGTTTGACTGTTCAGCTCGTTGAATGGCTACCATCGAGTGCAGGGCGCCTACTGACACCAAACACTTTATTGAGGATCATGCACACGCCTGTTGGCCGCTGTGTGCTGGGACGATTGGCGATACATGTACCTGAAAGTGGTCTCGTACAGCGCCTGCAGACCATTTTCGATTGGACGCATGTCTACGACGGTGACCAAGCAATGTCAGTGTGCATTGAGGGATCTGACCGCGTCTTGCAACTCGTCCAGCTGGGTCTAACGACGTGGGCACGTCGGAACGAAGTTCCGCCTACTGTCTAGTCGCACCCAAGCCATCCCATCCATGAAACTACTCACTTGCAACGTCAATGAAATCTCAGCCGTGGACAAAAGCGCCTTACATTTTGCAACAGGAAACGACTCACGGGAATTCCGTCTGAACGAAGATCATGTATACACTTGACAAGTTGTTCTTCGTGCTCTTTATCGATCGTAGTTGCAGTGCCGAAGAGGCGTGAGTTCTTTTGCGACGCGGTAGCAGGACTAGTAGCTTTCTTCGCTATATGAGCGCGGTTGCTTTCCCAGGGGAGCATTCTTTATTGTGCGGACAATCGTGGAGTCCCTTGAGCCCCACCAAGGAAGCGGTCAAGTGTGGAGTTCATTCTCTTTACTCCAATTGATAATATTGAGCTGCTTGGAGTATGTTAACAATGTAAGTACAGTCTTTGATGCTGTGGAGGGCCAATACGTCTGCGATTTTTGACCACAAGTCTTCCTGGCGCTTTTCGGTGCGGTGTGGAGTTGCCTGTCGGTGACTTGCTGCGCCAACTTGGCATCCCAATGCATACACTTGAAACCTGACATTTGTTAGATTCTAAAGCCAACTCAAGTGAGCAGTGGACTTCATAATTCATTATATGCCATTATGTATGTAGCTCTTTTTCATTCACACAAGACAAATGATCTGTACTTAAAGTACTGCAGTCCGACTCCCAACAACCGGTACGGTAATGGTCTGGATTATCCGGCTCACATATCAACAAGCACGATCGTCGGGAGCGGCGAGAATCCAACCAGCTTGCTCCATGTGCAAGAGCTGCTGCATCATCTTCTTTTGTAGCTGCACCATGGCGACCTTCATCACGATCAACTTCTGACGCTCGTCAAGGTCTGGGTGCTGCTCGTACAGCGGAAGGAGGACGTCGTTGCCAAGCCGCTCAAGAGTTTGGAGGCAGGTCGCGGTAACGAGTTCGTCGCCGATGTCGATGAGCGGTCCATTCCACGAAGGAATGATGGGGGACTGTTGGCAATTTATTTCGTCCTACCGCACCATGTGATCACGACAGGTGACGGCCGCCATGACACTGCAATCCCTCGACGTACCATAGTCACATGTTCGATCGCCCACGACGCCTCCCAGTACATTTTCTTCCGTTCCTCAACACGTCGCAGCCGCTCGTTCCTCTTCTTCTCTTCCCGTAATACCTTGCGCCTCACGCTTAAGCTCTTGTCGCTGCGCATCTTGATTGCGTTCTGCTCGAGTCGGTGCGCTTCGCACAGCTTGAGCTGCTTGCCATTCTTCCACGCTCGCTTCTCGCTGCACTTGCCCGACTTGTACATGCATAGCTGGCTACGTTCGTCGTCCGCATTCAAGATGGGCTTTCCAACGTCGGCATGCATGTGAGAGATGGCCGCCGCCTCCATTCGATACGCAATCGTCGCCTTGGAGATAAATCAATTGCACACGACCTCCGTCGTTCTCAATCCAGCGGTTTCGACTTCGATTTTTGCACAAAACCGACGCTTCGGAGGATGGGCAGCCAGCACGTGCCTCGTGGCGCGCTTCCCACAGTTCGACGCTGGGCAGCATGGCAGCTGCTCTGTCCATGCCATATCCATGCTGAGTCATGCAGCGCGACAGTCCAAGAAGCAAGTGCTCCATGGGCGCGGGAACAAGACGCATGCCCCCCATGTAACCGAGGGATTCAAGTGGTGAAATGGAGGCGTCGCCGCTACGCCCCGTGACGGGATCATGGCGGCTATGCATGCGTTCGAGGTAGAATTTGCTAGTTGCATGCACATTGGCCCGTGACAACGGACGAGTGCTTTTTGCCATCGCGTCGAGGCGGAAGCACGGTTGCAACGCTTCGTCCGGCACGTATCAAGGTCGGGAGTGTATATTACGGAAGCTGCCTCGCTTTAGTTGTACACCATGTACTTGGGAGTGGACGAGAACTTTTGGTATCCCTTGATAACTTTGTTGACGGATTCGAGAAAGTCCTTTTCGCTCACGCTCTTGCGGCGCGCGCGAATGGCAAACATGCCGGCTTCCGTGCACACACTGCGGAGTTCGGCCCCTGATGACCTTGTTTAGCTTGCATCGCATCAAGTCCCGTCGTACCAGTCGTGTTTGGGCACAGCCGCGCAATCAGTTCAAAGCGAATGTTGCGGTCGCAGCTCATGCTCTTGGCGTGAATTTGAAGGATTTGCGTTCGCCCGTCCAGCTCGGGAACGTTGAATTCGACCTTACGATCCAATCGTCCCGGCCGCATCAGCGCAGGATCCAACGTGTCTGGTCGATTCGTCGCCATGAGCACCTACACACGATCGTGAAAGCCTTCCTGGCGCCAAGTCGCAGCGTCCATGAAAATAGCACTCGACAAATATGAACCTGCCACAGCCAAAGCAAGCGGGCATGTATCATGCCATCGAGGCGCGACGTGCTCGACAAGAAGAAGAATTTGCAACCAATGCGAATTTTCTGACGCCTGCACCAGCACGAGAGTCCATGCACACGGGCAAAAAAACTATGGTCGAGACGCACTTTGATGTTACCGCGAGGATCAAATCCATCAAGTTCCGTGACGATCTGGAGCATCGTGCGCTGGACTTCGTTGTCCGTGCCGCCTTCCTCCTACGCAGAAGCATGTACGATTCGTCTGCATGAAGAATGGAACGCGGTTGTACCCCTGCGGAGCGGGCGCCCCCGATGGCATCTACTTCGTCGAAGAACACGATGCACGCTTTCTTGGACCGGGCCATGGTAAACAATTCGCGCACCATGCGGGCGCCTTCGCCAACGTACTTTTGCACGAGCTCACTCCCGATGACACGGATAAAGCACGCGTCCGTGCGGTTTGCAACGGCGCGCGCCGACAAAGTCTTCCCAGTCCCGGGAGGACCGTACAACAAGACACCTTTGGGAGGATCGATGCCGAGATTCACAAAGCGCTCGGGGTGCAGTAAAGGTAGCTCGACGACCTCGCGCAGCTTTTCTAGCGATTCTTTGCACCCACCAACATCGTCATACGTCACGTCCGGTTTGTCTTCGACCGTCATGAGCGACACCTGCGTGAAACGTGAATACCTTCATGACGACAAAGAGGAAAACGGTACCGTCGGGTCGATTTTGGGCGGCAACGGGATCTGAATGGCATACTTTGTGCGATCGACACCCACTCGCATCCCTTCCTCGATATCAGTGGGAGCGACCTTTTCCCCAAGACCGACGACGAATTTGGCAATCTGCTTGACATTGATCATGTATTTGGCTTCGTCTTCGCCGGCGTTGATGATCTTGGTGCATCGCGCGACCTGCAGGGGCTGTTCTTCTTGGAGCATCTGCTTGTCGCTGACGAGATCCCACTGAGATGGAATCGACAGCCCCGTGTCGCTTTCCTTGATTCCAACCAGGTCGTTCACGCTTTGTTGCACCTTCTTGATGTCGTCCTCTACGCTCTTGATGGCACGCGAGTACGGACCGAGACCGTACGTCTTGAGCAGGGCAATGTCGCCTTCATCCAGTACCTTGGTCGGAGGCTCGTTGAGCTCTTTTTCGTCGTCGTACTCATTGACGTTCTTTGTCTGGCACTCTCCTTTCGACATCGCGCTTTCCTTCTTCCTCCGCCGTCGGGCTTCGTCTCCCAGAACGATCTTGCAAGAATTGCCCAACCTCGCATTGCCCCAGATTTCCACTGATCGACCTGATTGGCTAAAATAAATCGCCCCAGCATATATTTTTCTCCAATCGGAGAAAACATTTTTCGATAAATCCATTTTGTGTAATTTGATGTGCCTCAATTCCCTACAGGACACGTCCAAAGCAGTATGTCCGTCGATCCATCATAGCAAAAGTTAAGGATGCTATCGATGCCACCATCGCACCCTCTGTAGTGCTTGATACATATTCACGGTGCAGACGAAGGAAGGTACGTACATGATCCAAATATTTTGTACGGCAGCATTGGAAATATATATTTGGAAATATATATTTAGCTCTGACCGTAAGGTATCCGGATACCGCAGTCGTTATTGCACTTTTTCACTCCAAAAGAGATGAAGGTTGGGGTCGTCGGCCTTGGCGCGATCGGATCGCTTTTCTTCAACCGTGTTCTCCATCACATCAACCCCAAGAACGTTGCGCGGAGCAAGGCCGATCGAGCGAACCAGGTTTATGCTCTCGTTAAGGACAGCCAGGTCCCCCACCTGAAGAAGGTGGCGATTTTGGACCAACTTCGACACCCCATTCTGGAAGTGCCGACGGACGTATCACCGAACGCAGACGCGTTTCGCACGGACTTTGACCAAGAAGGGCGGTCGCTGGACGTACTGCTTGTCACGGTCAAATCCACAGACACGTACGAGGTCGCGGCGCGTCTCAAAGTAAGTGGAGCATGGCAAAAGTCACAGCGTCATGTCGTTCACGACGCCTTGAACACACAGGCTGGCAGCGCCATCAGCAAACACTCTTTACTGATATCTCTTCAAAACGGTGAAGCTCCTGCCGTCGACTTGCACCTGTTGAGTGTCCGTGTAGGCCTCGGCAACGTCAAGATTCTCAAGGACGTCCTTGAAACAGACAACGTCCTTCACGGCGTCACGTACATGGGCGGTGTGTCTGTGAGCCCTGGGACTGTCATCCAAGGAGGCGATGGCATGACGACGATCCAGAACGCAGAGCATCTGAGCGACTCTGTCCAAGACACGCTTGGTCGGTTCTGCCAGCTCTTGGCTGCCTCAGGTTGGGATCGTTGACGTCGTGGCGAGTCCAACCTCATCGAGTGGCTTTCCATGTTATCCAATGGAGGTGTTGGGACCGAATTGCGCTTGTGCTGGTCGGTCTTTCCGCCTCAGCATGTCCCTGTTTTGTAGGAATTCAGACCCAGCTCGTTCCGTCCAACGACCTCCAGTCCGTTGTATGGACAAAGCTCATGGTGAACGCAGGAATCAATCCTCTTGGCGCAATCTTAAACGTCCCGAACAAGGTACTGCCGGGAGTGTTTTCCTATGCCATGTTTGACGTGCATAGAGGGTGGTCGCCGGCGCAGACAACTTGGCTGTCGTCGAGGCCATTGTAAACGAGGCGGCGGCCGTGGCCAAGGCGCAAGGAATCTCTCTGATCCTCAACGTAATTCCATCATCACGACGTTTGTTGCTCAGGAACGGGTTGTGTAGAATGCCACGCCATTGGAATTCACGGTGGCCGCCGCGGAAGCCACGGGGGCCAACTTTTGCTCGATGTGCTTGGACATCCAGCGCCACAAACCAACCGAGATCGGATCCATCAACGACATGATTGTGTACTACGGCCAGCAAGCAGGCGTCCCGACTCCTCACAATGCTTTCCTGACCAGCATCGTCAAGGCACTGGAACGATCCAAAACCAACACGCCCATGTCGTCGTCCACAGGACAAAGCATATCATAAGCGAACTCCACCACATCCCACGTGACAACAGGCGCGACAAGAGCTGGCGTCGTTTCCGCCTGACGCAGCGTGGTGCACATGCCAGCGTCGTGGCGAGGTGGAAGCTCGGCATGCCGAGTCCAGTGCTTCGCCAACCTGCCCGATTTGTACAATGGAAGGACAGTTCGTCCCATGCTACATTGACTTCTGCCTTGAACATGTTAGCGCTTGGCGATCCGCAGCACCCTCCAGCCATGCATGGTTGACACGGATCGAGTACGACAAGGTATTCTACTGGGTTACTTTTGCACGTTGGTTACAAAATCGAGAAAGAGGTCGGCAGAATTGCTGCGGTTGCGCTGGTGCTGCTTCAGGACCGAGTCAAGCCGTTTGTGCTTAAGCTCGAGCGGCGCTACTTTGACTTGGACGGTCGGCGCACTGCACGATGGCCCGAGCAACGCGGGGCCAGATGGACGCAGCGGCGGCATGTGGAACGAACCAAAGTTTGGGGACGTGTTTTGGTTGGGGGGAGTGACGAAATGCCACGCCGACGGTTGGTTCTGCAGGCCCAGAGACGATGACGTACTCGTGGCGGACGACGGCGGAGACGTTTCGTCGTAAAAGTCCAACGGTGCAAGTCGGCGCGGGGTGTGCGGCGGAACGTCCGAACTTGTCGTTGTAGACGAATTCCCCGACGACTGTTTCTTTTGCTTGGTCGAGCTTTGAATAGGTTTAATGGTCTTGACCCGCTTCGTAACTTGGTCGCGCTGCTTGGCCGCTTGTCGTTGCCTTCGACGTGATGTTGAATACCAGTGATTCTTGATTGCATTGTCCGTACTACACGTAGCATGGTTAAGCAAGGGCATGGAAGGGGGACAAAGGCATGTACCGGCCAGGTAGGAGCTTGGCGATTTCAGCCCACCGGTTGCCGACGCGCGCTTGGGCTGCAAAGATAACCTCTGTTTCGTCGGCGCGCCAAGGGGCCTTGTCGATCGTCGGATCGAGGAAGTTGAGCCACCTACGTGGAAGGTAGTGTCCACAAGGCGCGACCACGAAGCAGCAGAATTTGAAATTACCTTGTGCGGCACTGCTTAGGTGTTCTTCCCGGCAAGAGCTTAGCAATTTTCGACCACCTTTTGGTCCCGTGTTGCTGGACAAAGTGCAGGATGCACTGGTCGTCGAGGTGCGTCCATTGCTTTCGCCGATCCCCGCCCCTGTCCTTCTCCATATCCAAGTCATCCGAGTCGTCTTCGTCATCGTCTAGATCTATGGTGTCATTCTCATCTTCGCCATCCTCCAAGGATGCGCGATGCGCATCGTCCATGCCTCCGCCGCCATGCATGTTGGCCAAGGGGAGCGACATGCTGGAAATGAAATTGGAGTCTCTCAAACTCGATGGGCTGCAGCAATATCTTTCTTCTGTCGCCTGGTAAAATATATCTCTTGTGCTTGGATTGCAAAACTACATATGCGGATTCAGTGCACAGTCTCTAACATGCGGATAACATAGTCATATATTCATCGCATTACCTGTGTAAATTAATCTGCACTTTGATTTGCTGGGTTTTTCACTTGATTAAAGTATGCCCTGATGGCCATTCTGTAACGGATATCTGCGCTGAGGTTCTCAATTTGTCAATATTCCAAAAATCTGATTGGATAGTATAATTAGCTGACGAAAGGCGTTCAAGCGAGTGGTCCAAATCAGCCTGAACACGTTAAAATCTTAAACCGAAGTAGCAATATCATCTTGACCGGAGTCACTCATGTGCTCCTTGACTTAGATCCCACTACAGCCAAGAAGGCGTTTAAAAGATTTACCTAGGTTTTAATCCTTTCCTAGCAAACCCCCAAAACTGGGCCATTCGGACCAGGTGTACTAGACCGAATGACTAGAAAGTAATACTAACATTAGTTCATTCCAGCATCCTAAATTCCATCGAACACAGGACTACTAAATGCAAGCTCCTAGTAGTCTGCAACTATCTATTTTATACACATGAACCAGGATCGACATGCACACGTCCATTTCCGTGGCATTCTACGAGTCGCTTTCGCCTTGCAAAGTAAACTCACAGTCAGACTCGACAGACAGGAGGAATCGGCCGCACTTGTTGGGCTCCCACGTTGTCGGCATGATCACGTACGACTCGTTAAAGACGGGCGGGAGCGTCAGATCTTTTGGCGAGCTCACGTGATGCAGTGGCACAAAGTCTGTCTCGGTCCACGTTTTCCCATCCACGACGACGGTGGATGTGTCTCTCGTGCCTTTCGTGCCTTGGAACAAGTAGAATCCCATCATGGCCCCCACCTAGTTTCCGATTTAGACCGGCATGGATCGAGCACCACGTTGACGCAACGCACCGAGTCCTTCTTGCACTTGCCACGCCATTCGTACTCGGACCGGTACAAGTTGATCGTGACCGATACAGGCCGGACGCACTTGAGGGTCAGGTAAAACTTGGGGTTCTTCTTCCAGTCGGGACACAAGTGGCTCCCGCCCGCCGTGTTGACCTTGTCGTTCCACTCGCCGGCAATCGTTTGGACCATTTCATTCGGGATCTCGTCCATCGTGATCACGTCGTCGCTGTGAACTTCCACGTCGTACGCGCCTTCGCCGCGCGCATCTCCGAGGGACGGCACTACCAGCAATCCTGGTGGAGGTCGTTATCCGGATCCGCATGACTCCGTCGAGCGTACGACCCACCTTTGGCAAGCCACTCGGGCGGGACCTTGCGCAAAAAGATGCTGGCGACGTGGGCGCTGGAGTAGTCGGACAAAACGCAGTACTCGTCGGCCTTGACGAGCAACTTGCGGGGAGGTAGGGTGGCGTTCTACACGGTCGTGGCAAACGATGTCAGCAACGGCCACGACGTGCTCGCCTGCGTACCTCAGCGGTCTTGGTTTGGACGACGGATTGCGCCCGCCTCGGTTTCGTGGGCGACAAGAGCGGCTCGCCTAAGAAGTTGGTCTTCTCGGGGTGTTTTTTCTTGCACGTTGCTTGCGCCGCCGACTCGTCCACGTCTGGCTTGACGATGGCGAGGCCAATCAGCTGGCCTTTGTCCTTTTGGTGGTCACGGCGATGTCCCTTGGCCGTAGCTTTGATGCCGGTCCGCTTGAGCACAAGCTTGATGTCGACAGGTTTCGATGCCGCAAACGATCGCAGCACATACTGTGGGTTCTGGCACCACGTGAGGTTTTCCATCCCTATCAAGAGCAACGTTCGATTCACGAATTGCCATCATCTCCCACACCAAAATGCTCCCATGCGACCAAAAAGCGTTGCAAAATCCCTCGGAGAGAGGGGGCTATACCTGTGGTCAAATTTTGAACCAACGGCCCACCGGCGTTGCTGTGGCCTTCATCGTCTACGCGCCACCGACCTGCACACACGTCACGCGCGCTAAGCATTCGTTTACGTCGACAGGACTTGCCTTGTACGATCAGCGTGTTCAGCGGGGTCAGCGAGTCGATTTGGACCGGCTTGGGGCTAAACACGCGAAAGAAAAACTCCATCTCGACGCCGCCGTGGTCGGTATATGGAACTACCCCCCACACATGCATCACGTCAAGTGTACCACGTACGTATCATGACGTACTGAAGATGTACGCTACGTCCGGCTCCAAAACGACATTGCCTTTGGAGATTTCACGCTCGGGATGGCCCGCAGACTTGTCCCCAAGGGCGGCAGTGGCCGCCGCCCCCGACGGGTAGCTGTGGCCCTCCGCCACGACCGCGGTCTTGTCAAACTCCCACACCATGGACGATGCCAACGCCCGCTTCTTCACTTCCAGCAGCACAAAGTTGATCCCAAAGTTGTCCCCGCCAAACACACGAAAGTCGCGTTGCAAGAGCGACAGCACGACCGACGTCTTCTCGGTCACGACGAGTCGGTACTGCGGATTCAGGAACCAGGACGGTTCCGAATCAGGCTCGACGAGCCACTTCCGTGCCGAGGGGGCTGACGGCGCGCTTGCGGAGCTCGTCTGACCGGCGTGTCAGTGGAAAAGACCGTCAAGGGCCTAGGGGTACCTCGACCGACGGAGGGGGCTTCATGGGAGGCCCAGCGGCGGCCTGACCAACCCATTCTCCCCGCACGCAGTACTGTTGGAATGTAGACGGAAAGTTGCGAACAATGTATAATCTACGTTGGACGTTTGGGGCACAGCGTGAGGCCCGTGGAATGCCCTCGCTTCGCGGCGATTTGCCGACAACGTTGGGTGCTTCCTACGACGTACTCGTTGAACGCCTCGACAAAATCCTCCCACATCATCCAGAACGTCCCGTCCGCCTTGGTGCGGTTAAACTCGCACAGCGGGTCGGCACGCAACGCCGCTTCGACTTGGAGATTATCTTCCCATTTGCTGTAAAACGCAAATCATTTTTGACAACGCCGTCGATTCTGAAGTACCTGTCGTCGTTGCTCCAGTCCCCTTTCCAGAGCCCTTTTTGCCACACGTTTTTGAGCTTGACAAACTTGAGCGGCCCGAGCTCCTTGACATATTGCACAACGTACAAGTGATTCTTGAGGATGCCAGTTCCTGCCACGAAAAACGTCGACAACGTCACTCGAGGCGTGGCTGACCGACCTGTGACTTCGTTGTACGCCATCGACGCCATCTTGAGCTGGCATGTCACGACGCTCTTATAGTGCACGTGCTTGACCACCTTGTGCCAGAGCTGCCCCGTTTCGATGAGCTTGCGCGAGGCATCGTCGGCCAAGTCTATTTTCTTGACGCTGCCACCGGTGCAGTCGACAAACGCCTCCAGGATGCTTCCGTTGTGCAGGACTTCGTAGTTGCCTGCACACCGAAACACGCGTCATCTTTCCCGAAATGGAGAATACACCACCAGTGCCGGCATGATGAGGTTTCGTGGCATTACCGTGGAATTTGGCGTAGGCTTTCATGAGTAGCGGCACAAACAATTCGCTCTTGTTCACGCTGCTCCCATACAACCAGTGGCCGGGCCGCATGACGGCGCTGCCGGTTTTGGGCTCGTTGACCTCCTCGAGCGGTTGCGAGTACGGCAGCCGCGTGTCCGTGACAACTTCGAGCCATTGACAATCTTTGTAGAATTGGCACGTGTAAATGCCGAACGTCTTGAAGTCGTGCATGGGCGACACAAACAGGTTCTCGATCAGGTTGTCTGGGTGAAGCGCAAGCGCGGCAAACACACCAAGGAGCCACGAATCGTTGAGTCCTGCGATCGGATAAGCGCGTGGATGTAGGCTACGTGGTAGACGTACCCGTGCCCTCGCGCAACACACCACATCCAGCGGTGCACTTGAAATAGTCCGGGTCGGCCGTCACTTGACCTGGGCGGTACCACGCGATCGCCGAGGCTGCTTCGTCGGCGCCTCCATTCGCTGTCGGGCGCTTCGACGACGTTGCATATTCGGGCGGCTTGTCTGGGTTCAGGTACAACGAGATGGGCTTTGCAGCAAAGTCCGGGTCTTCGTACATGGGCGGAATGTCCCCGCATTCGCTCAACATAGCAATCACATTGCGCTCGAGCGTGATTCCCGCGCCTTCGAACTGCATCGTGGTGGTCTCGCGGCGGCGTTCGGTCGCCCAGCGAAAGTGAAACGGTGTCCCTTCATTGTCCTGTAACGGCTCGAAGTGTGGTCATATACCATTGGCTAAAATGACATTAGCTATGATTTTTGATTGGCTGAACTTCTACGTCTTTCAATTGGATTGGTAAAAAAATGGACTTGGTGCGCCAAGATCCACGTGCATCTTGGTCATTATGTTGATGCAATGTGGTGAAAGTGTGCATTGCACGGAGTTTGGAATGAAGCAATGGCTCATCCATGAGTCGAGCCAAATTCAAGTGCAGTGGCGCGCTCTATCGATGACGCGAGAGAGCACTGGAAGCCAGAGACACACAGCCCTGACTGGCTGTAGACAGCTTCGACGATTGAACCGTTCTTCAGCGCCTCCAACCGAAAGTTCAAATGCATGGGGAACGTCAAGCTAAATGAGCACAAGAGGAAACATCCTTTCAAGCTAAGCGACGTCTAAAGGGGCTCGCTCTGGGAGCGTAGATTGCGCCCTGTTGGCTCAGCTTTTCATGATTGGATTCCATCGATTTGTCGCAGGGATGGATGCCTTTGATCATGGAATCGTGGTATGCATGGAATGACAAAGGAGGCTTGACCAACGTCCACACCGACGATGCCATCGTGAAGGCGACGGACAGCCGTCGCCAGTAACACCAAGCGTTGTGTTGATTCCTCGAGTATCGATCGCAGCATCCACAATTCCTCAATTGCCCATGTCATAGCTCCGTCACAAACATGCAGTGGATGCCTTGGTTGCCCTGACCGCTCGCAACCTCTCCGTCGTCGTTCCCGGCAACCACGTCCAAGTGAGTGATCCCCACGTGCCGCCGTCTACGTCGGCGACGTGGGCCATCCTTGCACCCCGACTGCAGGGGGCGACTTCGGCTGTCGTTGTGTTTTCCATTCATCTGTTTCGGTGAGCCGCTCGAAGAAAGACGTTTGCGGAGCGTACAATCGGTGCACCTTTGGGTCGCACTCCGCTTGCCCCGTTGGACCCCAACAACCGAAGCAATGTGTTTTACGTCGACGAGATGCGCACTGGCACGTTCAGCATGACGTCGTGCTTGTATACCCAGGCAAGAGTTTCCCGGTGCCCATGTACTTACGCATGTCAAATTGGGGGCCTGTGATTCCAGCACGACGGGCGCCACATGCTCGACTGCCTTTGCCGCCCCCTCAACGATGCTGCTCCTTGCAAGCAATACCGCGTGCTTCATGACAAGCTCGTCTGCCATGAGCTCGCAGGATGTTGTCGTATGTATCAAGTTGCTTTGTGCAGTCATTCCGTGTTGTAAGAGCAACCGATGGGGAGGCACTTTGCGCTCGAGCGCCTCTTCGATGGTCGTGGGGCGACTTCTTACAGGCCGCCTTGGGAACGAGATGGTAGTTCTGTGCCGATGGGCAGGTATAATTTGTGTGGTCATAACATCAACGTCACGGCCCCGCCGAGTGCATCACGCAATCAACCCGAGAGGTAATAAATATATGCACCGCTTCGATCGCCTCGTCTTCGACGCATCCAGCGCATCCCTCGAAATCGGATGCGCTTGAGACATTCTGTGGGGGAAGCACCCAAAGCTTGGTCCAATTCCCACGCCCCTGCTTGGCTGTCAAGAAAGATCCCCCCCGCACATCCTGGCAGGCTCCATCGACGACCGTCGGCAAGATGACTGCGGTGTGAGGGTGTCTTGTCAGTCCGTCGTGGACTATGTATGCTCCCCAATCGACAAAACAGCGTTGGAAATGGAGGTTCTCGGCATGCCGTCGACATGGGGTCGTAGAATCTCGTGTACTCTTGAAAGGGGGGAGCTCGGCATGGATGCGCCGCCGTGAGAAAGGCGACCAAGATGATGGCCCCGCGACATCGCATCGACGGCGGAAGTGGATTGGCTACTACTACTAGGATGTTGCTACTACTAGTACGTTGTACTAACTACAATTCGTCCAAATTCTAGTACAATTTGGCTCTCGTTAGTACAAATCAAGCGAAACGAGACAACCGCTGCTTGCCACAAGCGGTCCAGGAAATTCAGCAGAAGGAAAGCGGCAATTTGGAGCTGAATTAAGTAGGTGGACGACGGCGGCATCGCTCAATACTGCGCTGCGTACAAGGACGGTGGTTCATAAGAAAAGGTGGATGTGGGGGTCGAGCTGTGATAGTCGCACACTGGATGCGGCGACGTCCTCCGTTCCCATGCGTCGTGAATGCGGCGCTTGATCTCCATCAACCGCAAGTACGTGTCATCTTCTAGGCGGTCGTAGTGGGGGCACGGGTGGTAGTAGGTGGGGCGATAGGGGTGGTGTGCGGCATCTCGTTTCACGTGGACGAGTGTCGATGGCAGCGACATGGTCATGGTCGGGCGGGTTGTCGCCGGTGGTCGAGGTCGTGTGGAGTTAAGGACGTGAGTATTTCGTCGCTTCATCGCATAGAGCTTTTGCACCGAGTTGGCTTTGCGCCGATGGGCTTCGCAGAGTGAATGGAGCTTGCCGTTCTTTCGCTGGGATCGCGGGAATTTGCACTCTTTGTACGCGTAGCGACAACGAAGGTCGGGGGGAACGACGGCGCTGGACGGGCTCGAGGGCACGGCACTGCCAGCGAGAGGCGGCGGCGATGGCGGCGCGTGAGGCATCACGACGAAGAAGCAGGTCGGGAAATGATATTAAAACCATTTCCATCCGAGTGCGCGACACGGCCAACTGTATTCATTGTTGCGATCTGTCTGTATACTGAATCCAAGTGAATTTGCCGCAGCTGTGATAGATATGTCGGCCCACGACTGATTCTGGTGGGACATATTGGGATATTCGTCTGTGTCACCAGGTCAGCAAACACCGACGCGACCGGCTGCGCGCTGAGGGGCGCTGCGGGGTGAGCGGACCGCGTTGTCGAAAGGAAGGGGGCTCTTGCCCGCGCATTATGCGATGGTCGTCTGCGAGACTGCATCCATTGGCGTGCAGGCGTTGAAGGTGCATGTTTACTTGATCGGTTTAGCCCACGTGACATTGCTGTTTGGTGAGACCTATGCTGAGATACACCCTTGCCTGGGACGGCCACTTCTTTTATTGAGAACGTCGTGGGGGGGGGCGCATGCGACGCACTCAACGCACCATAAGGGCGAGTTTGGGCATGCAAGGGGACTGGCCACAAGCCATGCGCATGGAATGGCGCAGAGGGGGGGCATCCAAGTGGCTAGCCAGAGCAGTGGCGCGTGGAGGGGTTGGGTCGTGCCGTTCTGATGGGAATAATGCGAGAGAGGTGGCGGCGGCCTCTGCATGCGGTAAATTCGTCCAACTCATATGAGGTCCCATCCTACGGTCGAAGCGAATGTTGAACCAGAGGACGGACGGCAGATATAGAACGAGCGCGACGACGCCCTTGGCGCCATGCACTGGCGATCCAATGAGGTGTCGACGACGCCGTGTGTTTCGAGTCTGGCACGAGGGCGCGACCAAGTGGCCAGACTACGTTTCTTTTTGGGTGACGAAACCCCGGCGACCAACGTGATGATATGCAAGCGATATCACTTTGGACGTCGTCGACAGGCGCGGCAACCGCTTCTCCTCCAGCATGTGGAACGAACGTGTCTCTGGCGAGCAGGACGGACGGTCCGTGCTGCTTGATACGGACACTGCATCCGACACGAGGGCGGCGCGGCGGCGGGTGTGGGTTGTCGTATGCATGCGGCGCGAGCAGAGAGAGAGTTTGTGGCCCACGACGACGTTGGTTCGGAACACCCCAACGGCGAGAACAACATGTCAATCCATGGTTTGGTTTACAGCGTCGTCGAGTTACGCCGTGTCCGAGACCCGCGACAGACGCTGCATGGTCTTGTCGATGGCTTCCGGGTGGCGGCTGTACCGAGTAAAGTACCCTTGGATGACCAGCTTTTCCGCTTCGCTGAGGTGGTCCAAGCTCGCTTTCAAGTGTTCCGGGGTCAAGTCCTTGCGAGACACGATGCCCTGCACTTCGTTCTGTCGGTTGAGCACAACCTACAACCGCGCGCGCGCATGAGACCCCCATGGCGTTGACGGGACCTGTACCAAGTGACGAAGCCCGAGCGAACGAAACAAGCGGAACGCGCGAGGGACGGGGGTTTGGTCCTGCACCGTGTTGGGCGTCGGGTTCATATATGGCGTGAGATCCATCCATAGGTCCCGCTCCGTCGAGTCCAAACGAATGTCTGTGATGCTCGGGTACCGGGGATACGTCGACTCGATGTCCCGGTACGACAGCGCATACTATGAGAGCATGCGTTGGCCGCGATGCAGTGTGTGCGTTGCGAGAACGGGCTGGCGGCGTACCTGTTCGTTGTACAAGAACGACTCTTCGCCGGCGGGCTTGCGGGTGTACGGTTCGGGCTTGTTCAGGGAGAAGTCCTTGCGCTGGAGCATCACGCACAAGTGCTTGCGCTGGATGAGGCCGCAAAACTTGTGCTGTTCGTTCACGACGGGGAACCCCGAGTGGCACGTGCGCTTGAGGATGTCGTAAATGTCGCCGGCTCTCGAAATATGCGCGAGCTGAATCACGTTCGACCCCATGATGTTATACACACGGAGATACCGCGCATAGTACGGCGGGTCGAACTCCAAGAACGGCAAGTGCTTCAAGTGAATGTGGATGTCGTAGAGACCATGGTTGAAGCTGTTGCCCTACAACGGCGGCCCGTGAGAACGAATCGTCGTCACACAACAAATTCGTCGACTACAAGTGCCCGACACCATGCAACCATTCGCACCACGAGCATGGTTTGCCGCCAAGTGGCGCCCCAATCTCCACCACCACGCGCTCCACCAACAGGAGGCATCCATTCGTCGGAGTTCATATTCGAGTGGACATGGACGTACCACCCAGCGAGCCGCCATGAGGCAAACCATGATGGGCAACCCCCACTCGATGACGCCGGTGCATTCCAAGATGATGACTGTCAACGAGATCGTCATGCGCGCCATGCCTGGACACAACAAATTGAGACGTGAACACGCGTCTCCAGTGCATACCGCCGAGCATGGAGGCGGCGCCGATGAGTGCAAACATGCCGACGGGGGCGGTGTGCGGAATGTGAAAGTATACGAGGGCGTGCACCCAGAGGCGGCCGTACGCGGCGCCGCTGAGTAAACTCGGGACGAACAGCCCGCTGGGTACGGCAATGCCGTACGTCCAGCACGCCATCAAGTAAAACGACAGGAAGAATACCGTGAGCGTCACAAACGTGAAGCTGCCTTCGGCCGTGTGGTGAAGCAATTGCATGATCGAGCGGGCGCCTGTCACCGTGTAAAGTGACGCCATGTCGTTGTACTCGCCGGCGGGACAGTAAAACGAAACCAAGCGGTCGGCATATGGACCGCTCTTGGGGAGGCACGTTCCAAACGCGTACGAGAGCCAAAACGACGTGAGCGACATGACAAAACAAATGACGAGGCTTTCCAGGAACCGGCCGTATTTGTGCGAGAGCAGGGGCGACGCGCGACGAAACAGCGTCAGGTACGTGTTGACTTGGTTGAACAGCGCACCGAGGAGCCCGCCGAGCATCCCCATCGCGAGAAAGATCGGGACGTCCCAGACTGCGTACGACTTGTTCTCGGCACTGAACGACCCAAAGCTCAACGTCCCCGTTTGGTTGCCGAGGTGACCCCACTTTTCACCCCCCGTGCCGAAGTCTTGGCTCTGGAACGCACTCCACAAGTTGAGGACGAATGCACTCACCATGGCGCAGAAAAAGGTACGCCACGTCAGGTTTTGATGCCAGAACGACGCGCCTTCCTCGAGCGCGAACAAGACACCGCCAATGGGCGCCCCGAACGCCGCGCCGACACCGGCGGCGGCGCCGCTGCTGATAAAGTCGCGCTTTTCCTTGTCGTTGCGGAAGCCCTTGAACTTGGTCCACGACGTATCGAGCCCGAATGACGATGACTTGCCTTGCGACAGACCAGCCCCAATCACCGCACCACTGTGAATCATTGGTCCTTCCTTTCCGACAGGAAGACCGCCCGCCACACTGAAGAGAACCCCCAACGCTTTGCAAAACAACGTCTTCAACCGAACGATTCGGTGGATCTTGATCCCGTTCAATGTTGCTTTGATCTCGGAAATGCCAGACCCGCCCGCGACTGGACACAGAATCGCGACACAGTACGACGCAATGGCGACATAGCCCACACTGATGCTGGCGTACACCAAGTAGGTCGATCCTACGCCACGTTTGCATCAAGTGAAGTTGGTGCAAAGGGCATTCGTACCAAAACTAGAGTGACCCGACAGTTCCTTCACAAGCATGCGCTCCATCGTTTCGAGGCGGATGGAGGAAAACATCTCGGTAAACTTTTCGATGAAGCACGCGACGCCCGCCGTTCCCAACCCGATGAAGAACGTCATGACCCAGCGACCCAAGTTGAGCATGTGGATGTCTTCTTCCGTCTACATGGCGACGCAAGTAGTCAGCAATCACCAACATGCGATTGTCGATTCGATTGGTGTGACGAGACGTACTTGCTCGTGGTCGTGCTGCTGGTTCACACGCGATTCAAAGAAATCATAGTCGAACGACTCCATGTGCTGCGCCTTGCGTTTCTTTTGGCTGTCGTTCTAGAGGAACATGAGTACGACACACAACTGTAAACCAAGCACGCGACAACGACGTACCAGCTTGGAAAAATCGGGCAGGAACAACGAGTCCTCAGACAACTCGGATTGCAAATTGCCACTGATGTCGCCGAGGATCATGAATTGTCGAGGAGCTGTGTCTCGTGGCGACGACGAGCTTACACTGGACGACGCAGACATTTCCTGGCGCGACCGGAACGAGGTCGATGTCAACGCAGTCGACTCCCTTGACACGTCATTCACGCGGACAACCGAGATCGGCGGAGGCACGGGCGCACGAGATGCCGTTGTCGGCTCACTACGCATGCTGCCTTGAGAAAGCAACGGCTTCTTCTCGCCAACCGGCACCGTCCTTGGCGCTCTCTCCACCATCAAGTGATGTCGTCGCGGGAATTGACTAATGAAGGTGAAGGTGTGGGATAGGTAAAAAAGTCCTGCACATTATAAATGCACACGAAATTCGAACTTTATATTTGGCGTTTGTATCGAGAGGTTTTAAAAGTACGGAAAGGCGCGACCACATCGCCAGAGCACTTCGCGCACAGATCCGACATGGGGCATGGACTGGACGTCTACGCGCGGCGCGGCGACTTTCTTGTGGACCTTGAGGAAAGAAAGCACAGATCGGTGGATGGAAATGATGATATGACGACAGGGTCGTGCTTACGTGTCTGGGCTGTCGTGCGACAGCCCTCGCTTCATGCCTGTGTCACGAATGAGACAAGATGGTGTGGATGCAGGTGCGGCGGATACGATACATTACCCGACGTTACCGCCGAGGTGTTTCCGTGAGAACCTTCGTCGTCGATGCTACGGGTGCATCAGCAGCGATCATCCCCGTTCTTACAACGCACCCAACAAATGCACTGGACCCGCAATTCTGGAGCAAGTTGTCTAACTTGGATTTCGCTTCAATAGCTTGTTCTACTTGGCACGATTCAGCGCGAATTGGAGCCAGCGATCAAGGAGGAGGGCGTGTACCGAGGGACACGGGGCGCTCCCACTGCGTCTTTTGCGTGTGGATGTTCCAGTAGTAGACGTCTTGTGACAAGGGATCTTGCACCTCTTCCCAGCCGCTATTCTGCGTCAGTACTCGCCCAACAAAGGCATCAATCGGTATGAGGATGCAGCGTACTATGGCAGTGGTGTCTCGCCTTTCTCTAGTTGCGGGTTTACCTACAAGATCGCGTCACCACTTGCCGAGGCGGCGATTTCACGTACGATCGAAGGCTTTTCCCAAGTCGTCTCCTTGGTTGTCTGCACTCCATCATGCCATCACGTAATTCACACTCATCATGGAGCTGCGGGTACACGAACCTTGCTCCAGTAGTACACATCGCCACTCTCCTTGTCGACGGCAGATCTCCATCCTGGTAACAAGCCGATGTCGACCTCGGGTTTCTTTGTGGATGATTTCGAAGATGGTGCAGTCTTGGGCAGGGTAGGTGGCAATGGTATTGATGACATTTGTACTGGAATTCTTGCACTTGCGGCTGATGTCTTCCTCGCGACTTGGAGGGTGTTGTCTCCCATGTTGATGTCGTACCCGACTTGTCGTATCACTCCCTTCATCTCGTACTGCGACGGACCTGCGCCAGAGGCTTCAAGATGTTTCTTTGCAGCCTCTCGTTCCCGTTTCGCTGCCGCTTCGGCGCGCAGGCGCGCCGCTGCTCTGTCTGCCATCGGGACGTTGTCTATAATATTTGCTGAATAACACTCGCGGGTTTCCCATGTTTTTTGCAATCAAATTGTGAATTTTCAGTGAATGTTTTAGCAATTCTCCTTGCTAATGTTCTCAAATTATCCAAAGTATGGATATCCACTTCAGACATTTACCAAAATAGTGGAAAACCAGCGAAACCTCACACAACACACTTTTGACGGGAGATCGATAAAATTAGCAACATGCACGCATGGCGGGAGCGGCAGCAGCTTAACTTCTGCCGTTGATGTCTAGATGCTCCAAGCGTCGGGACACATCGTGCATGTTTCCGTGTTGGTCGACGGCGTCGGCGCTGAACGCGCGGCCTTGGAGAGTTCGGGCCCGGGACGTTCCATCCTGTTGATGGTTGTGGGGGTGTTGGTGATGCACGTCGTCCTGCTGATGGTCGTTTTTGCCAATGCCAAAGAGAGAAGGCAATCGAAGCTTCTTTGTCGGCTTGATGCTGAGCACTGTGCGACCGAACTTGACGTGCAGCATTTGGTTGCCAGGAAGGGTCAGCGGGCGGTAGATGTACCGCAACGTGCCGTTCGAGCTGCCCGCGTCTTTGACAAACCACTCGCCCTTGTGGTAATGCAGTTCCGCGTGAATGGTACTCACGGTACGATACTTCAGCACGAGATCGCATTGGGACGACCGGCCGATCATGAGCGGTCGTGCTGTCTCCGTGTTGAGAAGCGTCTTGTAGCTCAATTGGTACCGCGTCGAGGTGTTCAGTGTCGAGCTTGTGTGTTTGGTCACGACTTGAAGCATGATGCTAGGGGCATCCAGCCGGTCGGGCAGCAGCGATACATAATTGTTGGTCGAAGGAATCTTGATGCGGGCGGGGTATGCAGCTTTGCAAATGCTGCACGTACGAGCGTCGCTCTCGTCCAAGACGGCACAAATTTCGTTCTTGTCCCCGTTCGTGTGCCACCGCTTCAAGCAATTGACGTGAATATACTTGGTGTCCCCAGAGCACTTGCATGGCGCGACGAGGGGGTTGTCGTCTTCCGACTCGTCGTAGCACACGTAACACACGTTGACCGTAGAGTTACGCGTAACACTGAGCCGCTGGGATGGATCGTCGCACTGGGAGCCATCGTTGCCGTTGGCTTCGTCAGTATCGTCACCAGAGTCCACGTCACCTTGCGTATCGTCAAGGCAGACGAGGCGCTGGGTCAAATGCGTGATATCCGCGGGAGAAAGCGACGCGTCCGACGAGCCGGTTCGGCCCGTGTCAATCTCCGTCACGAGAAGACCAACCGACCCAAATCGAAGAATGTCACCAACTGCAACTTGGTGCTTCCCACCTCGAATGAGCTTCGTGCCCAGGATCTGGCAAACGCCGGTGTGCGCAGAAAACCGCTCAATTGACGGCATCATCTTGTATGTGTCATTGCTGTAGTCGATCGCGAGACAGGGCGCGCGTGGGTCTTCAATAAAAATACGTTCGCGGTCTTTCTGGGGTGCGGCGGCAGCAGTAGAGGAACTACCGGCCGTGGGCGTCGAGACAGTAGGCCCCAACAAGCCCATTCCGAGTTCATTCTCAGCATTTGGGCAAGGTTTCGAGCCATATATCGTCACGCCATTCTTCACGACGCTCATTCGGAACTTCTGCCGTTTCGACGACACTCCCTTCGCGGCTGCCGTCATCCCGCGAATGTCCAACCTACGCAAGAGTTCCATCGTTTCAGACTTCCTCAACCTTCGCTCTCCTGCTCGATGGACATACGTATCTGGCTTGCCGTCGCCGCTGAAGAACTCCTGCGCGCGGACGAAGCTCCATCGCCGGTCCGTCGCCTTGGCCGCCATATCTCTTCTCTTTGTGGTGGTGTGCTGAAAAAGGAAGAATATTGTCTTGCCCTGGCTCTTGGCCAAAAACCTCTATTATTTAATGCAAAATGCCGAATTTCACACGCGCTTTGATTGCTGGAACTAGGACCCCGCCTGATCTTTTTCTGCGGCCGAGTTTATCAACCAATCAGCGGTTGCTTCTCCAACTGGCTTCGATCTCCTTGAAAAACGCGATCTTGCGTTAAAGGGTTTCGACGGTTTCTACGTGCGAACTGGATTTAAAACGCATGCGTCTTTCGTGGCATGGAGGTGTAATGGCGAGCTCACCTGTTACGAACGCTCGCCAGGTCATCATCATGCCGCCAAGGCACTCCGTCGGCTTGCGTGCGGTACTTCTGGTGTGGAAAAAATGCATAAGTAGCTGCTGCACGCAAAGCGCGAATCGTCGCTTGAATAGGATGTATAGTGTGAAATATGCACCCGTGTGAGCTAAGAAAGCACGTTCGAGCACGAGTTTAACGTCGCATTAAAAAAAAACACGTTTGTGCTTCGTCAAGTCGCGTTTAACCTCCTCTTCCGCAGCTGCACGGTGTTCGGCGTGCGCCCCAAGCACCTCTTGAACAACGTATGCTCTTTGTCGGGCTGAGGGGGAAATGCTTCGAGGGTGGCTCCGCCGTTTTGTACAACGCAGTGTACGGTACAGTTTACGCAGAGGGGCGCATCATGTTCGGCCGTGAAATCTCGAAATAGCGTCAGGTGCGCTGTGCAGAGAATTGTTGTATAAATTGTCACAGGGTCCCAATTGTCCACCTCACAGGTCCTAAATTAAAAGGACCAATGCAGTTTCACACGAACGGGGCACTCGGTGGAATTCCGCATCATGTCCGCGCGTTGTGGTTGCTGGTCTCGTCGGAGCACCAAAGGACACCAAGTCCGAGAGAGGCTCTACGCGACGGTGCCTGGCTTCTGTGATGGTTTCGCCAGCACTGACCTAGCTGAATGCTGTTCAATGAGGCCACGAGCCCATCCACTCGAGTGTCGTCGCGGAGCGCATGCACCTAATCTCGTCCGATCTAATTTGCCCACACGCAATGCCGGAGCAAGACCAGCGGACACAGGGAGTAGTAAATGGCCAGACTGAATTGCGGGTTTCAAATGTGTGATTGAGTAACTCACGTGCACACGTTCTGGCTAGAAAGTTGCACACTCGCAAGGCGGGGCATGGAGCAGAGGGCAGCCCGTGGCAAGGAGAGGACTTGGAGCGAAGGAGCTGTGGGCCATCGACTGCATTGCCGGTCGACGGACGCGCTGCCGGTGCATCACTTGGACAACCAGACGAATGCATTTCATTGGTAGAATTAGATTGCGTATGGACCTATGAAAGTGTCGTATTGCAATTGGATGCATTTGATTGGCCCCCTGAGCATGCCGGGTCGAGTCGGGGTTTTCGTCTTCCTCTCTGCCAACGTTCGTCGCGAAGATGGCGCTCAAGTGCCGCAACTTCTCCCGCCTCGTCTTGATTTTCACGAATGTGCTCTTCCTTGTCCTTGGAGGCCTCCTTATCATGATCGGTGGGTACATGATGTCATCGCCAGACTTGAACGAGTTCACGTCCGACACGATCTCGGGAGCAATCATTGCGTCGGGGTTCCTCATTGTGCTCGTGGCGGCGCTGGGGTGTTGCGGCGCGCACTGGGAGAGCAAAGTGTTTCTCTGTCCATATGCGACTCTGGTATGTTCATCTTCCCAACGTTTCTCGTGCTCATGAACGACGGGCGGCTGTAGGTGACGGTGTCAATCATGTCCCAACTTGCTCTCGCCGCATTCATGCTTCAACTCCACAAGTCTCTCATCAAGCTCAGCAACCTCGACTACAACGTGCAGCACGAGTTGCTGACGACGGAAGACACGACTGTCCTGACCGAACTCCACAACGTCTTCAAGCACGCGTACTCGTCGTGCGCACCCGAAGTCGACCTCACCAAGACGTTCGAGACCGGCGCCATGGTCGCCCGATGCATGGGAGAGGATGCTTCTTACAACTGGTTTGCCGACTTTGTGTCGCAGCGATGTATGATCACGGCAGCAGACCTGATGCCGAACAGTCCGTTCCAAAAGGTACCCGTCGACCCTGGCAGCTTGGTCTTGATTAACGGTGTCTGCAGTGTGCCGGTGAAGCGATCGTGCAAAACGTAACAATATTGGCGGAGCAAGCGCTCTTTTGCTCATGCGAAACCAAACTTGTGACCTGGATGGACAAACAAAGGTGACCACTCTGTCGGATGCACGTGGTGTTGACCGTGATGTAGTGAGATGATCGGGGTCGTCGTTGCCGCGATCGGAGGATTCGAAATCGCCCTCGTGTTCCTTTCCTGCTACCTCATGTGTACTCAGCGCCGTCGGTCGAAAGGATATCAAGAGATCCGCATGCCGCTCAAGATGCAACACAACAACGCGAACGTATACCACACCATGTCAGCGCCGTACCAGCAGCACAACGTTCAAGGCACTGCCATGTATGCACCCGTGCCCAACACCGACTCTCGCATCAAACCATAGTTATAGTCGTGATGGCAAATGTAATATTCCTTGCCATTGCAGTACCGTGCATCTCGCGCGCTGTCGGACGAACGGCATCATGAGCCGCCCCACTGCGTTCAATTCGTCGCGTTTTGGAGTTGAACTCGTATGGCAGTCCACCTTGACGGGCACCATAGCGTAGCTTCGCCGAAGTCGGTTCCAAAGACAGTCGATCTGCTTGATTCCGTCGAGGAGGGCATGATCTCCATGCTGCGCAGACTCCATGCAGAGCGTTCAATTTGTGCCTCTGCTCTATCCAATGGGTCGCAAAGTCCGCCTACATGAGGAGGGCAATCCTGCGTTGAGCTCAACCACGGTGATTGTTCAGCAGAATTTGGCCATTTTTTGACAAACTATTCATCGAAATATGGTGAAAAATTGGGACAAATTCTTTTGACAAACTATTCATCGAAATTTGGTGAAAAATTGGGACAAACTCCAACCTACTCCGTAGTAATATATTACCGCATTGTTTTCTATGAGCCTTTGGACGTTTGGCGGCATACCTCGGGTGTATATCAACTCAACCAACTAAGTCCACGATTTCACTACGCGAGCAATTCACCATCGATACTCGTCTAAGGGTTTGTCGACTCTATGTACTCCGACGCTGCACAAGTTACCC